GAACACGCCAACTCGAATGATATGGGAATCGACTCGAGAGAGTGATTTTTAACAAAGAGATTTGTTTATCCATATATTTTGAAAACACTATCGTGTCACTATCGTGTCACTATCCCCGGTCCGGACACCACATAGAGATATGGGTGGAAAGCTATAAGGTAGTGCAATGGTGAAATCCGAGAGGAATGCCTTCAAAATAGATGGTGGAACTTAATTTCGAAACACTGCTTGCTGTAGCATTCCTATAGCATTGGCTGCTGGAATTTGTGTTTGGGTCTCACCTTAAGTCTTACACCCTTTCTTCTTTTATATATTTTGTATTCTGTTTTGGGATCACCTTACAATCAATCAAAAGTCTTCAAAATCGCCATCTGAAATCATCTCTTTCATTGGACTCTAATCTAACTTTGGCTACAATCCCTGTGGACGATAATCCAGTACTTGTACCACTTTATTACTTGGAAAGACGACGTTGAGCCGTATTGTATACTTGCTTTGTGGCCTAATTTCATCAGTCTAAAGGTGTGGAATATAACCGACCAGTTTCCAAAAAATTTCCTTTCTCTAAGTCCAATAACTTTCTTAACTCACTCAGATCTCACTCAGATCACTCTCAGACTTATAAAGTTTATCAGTTAAGTCCTTAGTCTCTGTATTATTCCCTCCAAAAGAGTTCCTCTCAATTTGCAGTTCACTTCTAACCTCTTGAAGTTTATTAAACAGATCTTTATTAGCTTTACTCCAAGTTTTCGATTCATCATCATACTCTTTTCTGATAGAATTCAGAGTGTTCTCCGACTTTTCAACCCTATACCTGAAATCATTTTCAATATGTTCACATCTTTATTTATGTTCCCGTTTTAAATTTTTAATAAATTCCTCATTTGCATGATTTTCATAGAACATATTTATATATTTATCTGTATATTCTTTTTAGCTTTTCTCCAACTCTGAAATCTTATCCGTCAACTCTCTATTCTCCTTCCCTAGATATACTTCCATTTCAGAAATCAAAATTGATCAAAGAATCTAATGCGATGAAATCAATCAAAGAAATCAAAATCAATTAAGTTTAAAAAAAATAATACCAGAAAAAACACAAAAACTGTTGAGAATTCAGAAATCAACAAAAAAGTGTCAAAAAATCAGTAAAAACAAATAAAACTATTGAAAACAGTTAAAAACTATTAAAAACAGTCAAAAACAGTAAAAACTGATTAAAACAGTTTACGCAATCCAAATCAGTTAAAAAAATTCTCAAACAAATCAAAACAGTGAAAAACAGATAAAAAACAGATAAAATTTGATCAAAAAAAAATTGAATGAAAAAAAAGCAGATAAAGACAAAAAAATTTTGACCCAAGAAAAAATAGCCCAAAAAAATTGGCTAAAAGAAAGAAAGGGCTTGCTATTAAAGAAAGCCCAATATGGATCAAGATTAACCAAATGTTGGGCCACAAAACTGCAAGAAACACAAATCTAAGACTATTTGGCCGATGATGATCTAACTCGGACAAGGTAGTGTCTGAGAAGAGCGAGATGATCGAGGAAGCTAAATCATGTGACTTGTGCGATTTAGTCTTAAAACAGATAATGCTATGATCGATATCAAGAACAAATCCGAATTATAGTCTGTGATTTATAGTGAAATTTGAACAAAATCTTAACGTCTTGAAATCATGCTAAGTTGTGCCCAAGGTTTTCTATGAATGCCCAACACATATGAAATATTGTCTGAGGTGAAAGGAATTCGGATGACTTGTTGTGCCAAGAACCTTGAACTCGGCTAGACTTGTATCTGAGGATGACCAAATCGGACAGGCTGTATGCACGGATGAAAAGAACTTGGCTAAGGTTGAACCAAAAAATGAACAGAATCTGGTCAAATCTGTTAACAGATTAAGAGATGAAATCGGCTATCTTGATGATCGATTAATCTCCAATCCGGACAAGGTATGGTAAACAATTTAAGGGGAATACGGATACAATGTTTAGCGATGATGCCTTAATCCGGACAAGCTGTTAGGCGATGAATCCTGTTGAGAAGTAGCCTGCGACTTAGTGCGATTTGAGCGATGAAGAAGCAGCTGAGATACAGACTAAGTCAAAATATGGTGGCTCTTCACTCGATTACACCAAAATCGGACGACACAGCTTGCGATTTATACTTCAAAAAATACAATCCAGAAGACCTGTTGTGCACCCAGACCTGTTGAGATGGAAGATGAAACCCAAAATCGATAGCCAAGACTGGATGAAGCATGCGATTTATGCAAAAACAGATCAAGCCTTTGCCGATGAAAGACTCAATCAATGAAAGGTTGATGTGCGATAAAGGCTAAATCGATTGATACCTTGAATGATGAAGAACAAAATGGACCACGTAAATAAGATGATGAAGAGTGTGATAAAGAAGAAACCGAATGAAGAATTGAGCGATAAACCCTTAAATCGGATGAAGGCTTGATCGATGTAGACAAAAATCGGATGAAGGCTTTGTGCTATTTAGGTGAATTTGTGCAATTAGACTTGAAATCAAACAAGGAAATGTGCGATTTAGAATGAAATCGGTGAAGCTCGACAGTGAGTTGAATCTGCTTGGATCGATTACCAGTGATGAGAAAGGTCAATTTGTTAAAAGCCTTGCTTAAATCGATTGGGCCTTTGCCTGATGTATACTTAGAAGAATCAGCAAAAAAAAACTTATATGGTCATCTTGGTGAGCAAGGTAGGAGATCGAAGGCGATGAAGATGAAGGCGATAAAGAAAGAAACTGAATGGGCCTTAATCCATTCGGGCCATATGAGCGATTTAAGTCCAAAAGGTGTTGAGCGATTTAGAGTTCAAAAAATCGACAGGAACACAAAATACAAAATAAATAACAAGCAAAATGGATCAAACACAGGTATTTTTATGAAAAAATTTAATAACAAAAAAATTCAAAAACACAAAAAATTCATTAAATCTTGAAAAACAAAGATCAAAACGCAAATCTTTGTGTATAACAAAGATTCACAAAGCAAAAACACACACACAATGATCATTGTTTTAACACAAAAACACAAGATTTAAAAAATTTCTGATCAAACTCAAGAAAAAAAATAAGAACACGAAAAACATAAAAAATTTCCAAATAAATCTCTTAAAAAAATCTTCAAAACTCTGATTTCTTTTATTGATTTCTTGCAAATCCGGCTCTGATACCAATTGTTAGTCCTTGATATGATCAATCTTCATAAAAACTTCATGAATCCATGGCAGATCTTCAAGAACATATAGAAACGATATAGAAGGAGATGAGAGAAAAAGTCAATTTAGTCAAAGTTCTGTATTCCTCTCAAAATTTACATACTGTTACAAATGAAGCTCTCCTTACAAAATCACAAAAGACAAAACTATTTATATAGGGTCAAACTAAAACCCACTAGTCAAAGTCAAACTTTACACGAAAGTCAACCACGATGTCTAAAACAATTATAGACAATATTATCTTTCAAGACGAATACAATTTAACACTAAAATTCATTCCTAGCAAAAAAAAGATTTTACTTCTTTAAAACAATTATGGATGATATCCTATTTTCAGGATTTAAGGGAGATTTTTAGTATGAAAATGATATTGAAAGAACAGATGGTTCTTCAGTTTTAAAGTTCTAAGATAAAACTATTTTGAAACCATTATTGGTTAAAAACTATAGAGGATATTACTTCAAGACGGTTGTGACTTCGGTCTGTCTTCGTTTGGAATTAATCTATAGATTTTGGTGGTTAAAACTATGGAGCTTGTTTCTTCAAGACGGTTGTGACTTCGGTATGTCGTCGTTTGGAACTAATCCATAGATTTTGATGAGGAAATAAATGTGGCATATCAAGGAGAGGTGTATCATGGGATAAGGGTGATATATCAAAGAGAGGTGTACCTTCGGTTATAAGGGTGGCATATCAAGGAGAGTGTACCTTTGGATATAAGGGTGGCATTTGTATGTGTGAATATTATAGCTCTTATTATTATGTCTCTTATGATTGCAATAGTATTGAGTTCTTACTTCTTTGTGATTTGAGGACTCAGGAATGTTGCTCTTATTAGAAATGATAGTAATGATGTTATTGAGAAGGGAAAACCTAGGCTTACAGCCAGTGGTTTTGGATAAACTATGTTTTTGATAAAGTGTTTGTCTTATAAGGGACCAGATTGGCTCTGGTTGTTCCTTGAAAGGAGCCAGAGGGGATCTGGTCGGTCCTTACAATAGAACCAAAAGGTTCTGGATGATGGTTTGATATTGATAAAAGTCTTTTTACAAAGCTTTTATCTGTATCTATTAGATAGAAGCGATGTGTGAAGGTTATGTTGTAAAAAGAAGTGTTCATAAGATTTTATACACTTATTTTAACTTAGAAAACTTTTCATACAAATAAGGACAAACCAGAGGGGCTCTGGTTGGTCTTCGCATTGAACCAGAAGGCCTCTGGTTGGTCATGAGTTTTGAGCCAGAAGCTCTGG